CCCCCCCCCCCCCCGACTTGTTTCAAACACTTTTTTTTTCTTTTGTCTTTTTCTATTGAACAGAAAATATGTTTTGAAAAAAAAAATCAATGGTTACAGGTTTTAAGTGGAGGATGAGTAAATTAAAAAGGTTTAAACATGGTTTAAGGTACAAACATGTGCAATAGAATAAATTATGAAATCATTTTTATTTTGAACCGAACTATTTTTATATTGTGTTAAACTTTGGGTGGGCTTTAAAAACAAGCCTTGTGTCAACACACTACATTTGAGTCACCATCTGTTTCGTCTGAATGGAAGTTGGAACTGATCTTTGATGCAGTATTATAACATCATTTTTCAATTTAGTTGCTCTCACCTCTTACACTGAAATAAAACCATTGGCAGTGAAACCTTTTTACGTAAACACATTACGAATATGGGACAGCAGAGGTAATTATTTAATTTTACATTCCTTCATAACTCACAGAATACTACAAATCTACCTGCCAACAAAACAGCAAGACCAATAAACATTTACACTCAGAAAGGCTAGCTCATAATAATGAATTATGAATTTAATTAAATCATGTTATTATTTAAATTCTAAAGTACTGAAAGGAAAAAAGTAACTAAAGGGCTTTAAAAATAAAAGCTCTTGGAAACAATATTTTTAAAACATGTCTAATAAGAGACATAATCTTCCTTTATCGCATGCAAATAAAAAAAGAGAACTGTTTGAGTGTTAACAGCTTAGCTTTCATCAGATCTATGTGTCCTCTCAGCTGAAACATTTCCACAACAGCTGACATTTGCTTTTGTAAACTCTTTTTGTTTAGTGCCAGTTTCAATATGTCTTGCCATCAGAATGGTGAAGATCTGAGCAGGCAGATTACAGGTTTTTAAATTAGTGCCCCCTAATTTAGTAATTGACGCACTGTAAAAAAAAGATTAGTTGACTTTATTTAAAAAGTGAGTAAACCAGTTGTTTTTAAATTGCTTTGATATACTTAAAAAGAAATTATGTTCATGGATCAGCTTAAAGGGGCTCTATTTTAATGATCTAAGCAAATGGTTTAAGGTGCACGCATGTCTCAATCCACTTTTGTTATTTTAAAGTCAAGAAAATGGTCGGCGCACCCGGCGCATGGTCTAAAAATCCTTCACGCCATGGCACAGTCACTATTTACATGCGGGACTTTATAAGCAGAAATCTGAATGCTTCACTGGCAAAGAAACAGATCATGCTCAAGGTTACAGCATATGAGCTGACCATTAAGGGAATGAGGCAGATTCCACCAAAGTCTCCTAAGTTTTTTCCTCGATGTAGACAATAAAAATCTTTTACATTTTAATATCTCATATTTAACTCTCTCAAGCACACAACCAAGGTGATCAGCCTTGGCCAGTTTCTAAAGCATACAATCACACTGCGATGTGATTAAAACATAATAACCAACATAGGTTCGCTCTGAAAAAGTAGTCCTCTATACATTTTTGAAGATTGCGAATTATGCAGCCAAACATACGCATGGCTGCATTTCGTCTTTAAAACAATGCTGCAGGACAGTATGACCGCTTACCTCCAAATGGACAGCTTTCCCACTGTTACCAGATTGTCCACAATAACAAGGCGTGAGTCCAGCAGAGAATGTTTTCAGAAGAAATAACAGGATGAGAATGTGGTAAAATCTGAAAACATGGTAAAAATCAGGTGAGGGCTTTTCTTTTTCTGGATTGTTTTTTAAAACTGTCGGTTGGGTCTAGGGAAGTGGGTGGGCGAGTCAATTGGTGCTTTTGAAAACATTATTGGTTGGGTTTAAGGTCAGGGTCAGTCAGTCAGTCAGTCGACAGTAGCCTCTGGGGATTTACGCGAGAACAGCAGGCAGTTTGAAAAATTTGAGATCTGAAAAAGCATACACAGCAGACTCTGGTGGATTCGCAAAACAAAAAAAAAAAAAAAACAAAAAAAAAAAAGTGTAGCTCTTGGGACATATTTGGCGCTCTCCAGAAATGTATATAGCTGTAAGTTTTTTTTAGAATGAGCCTGGGTTGATAATAATGCACGCCATTAACTGCTCAAATTCAAATCTGGCAGCTCAAAAGGGGTTGAGGGACATGCTTCTGGTCATAAAACAAGAAGTATTTTTCAAACAAATACAATTTCATTTAAGTTTTAGACATTCAAAAAAACATAACTACTAGCAAAACATAACACTGATGGTTTGTAAAATACATGCGGATGTCTGTGGAAATGGCAGAAATATTAACTTTTAAATATAACTGGCTACAAATGGCTTTTTTCATGTAAAATACACACTGTTTAATTTTCTATAACATTTATTCCACTCCTTTCCCAGTTTAATAGCCACTTACTTTACTAAGTTTATAATGAGTTTACTTACTTTTTAAAAGCAAAGTAAAATCATCATTCACATTTTGGAAGTTGTAAATTCTACACAGGAGACCAGTGATCCTAATTAAACTTGACATAATCTGACAAATATGTCTATTTTTTTTTTTTTTTTTTTGATTGATAAGTTACACTGTTTCTCCTCTTAAACAGCAGGTTAGTTGCAGTCCTTGATTATGATTAGTTGAACCTTATTTAAACCTACAAAGGCAAATGAAACAGTTTATCAGCCTAGCTTTATTTAATTAAACCTTCCTACATATATGAAATAACCTTTTTAAATAAGCAATAAATCCCTTAAAACCATGGTTTACAGTGAATTTATAACAGATGCTTTAATTTATTTCTAATCTTGCCTAACTATGCCTCTTAGCTGTTATAAATTCACTGTATCAAATAGAAGCACACAGTAATACACAACACAGAGCAGATAACAATTACTCTATTTCCATGTAACTACTTTACTTTTACTTTACTTCCATTTATTGTCGTCAGTAAGTGTGATTTAACAATTGTCATTTTGTCTTTGTTTTCACAGCACATTATAACAAGAACAACACAATACAAATACACTTTTCATAACAATCCTAATAAAATGTAAGATGAAAAATACAAGGTAGTTGATAAAAAAATAAATATATTTATTGAACTAGACAAAGTTAATAGCAAACCTATACAGCTTCAAATGAATAGCACAAGAAAAGAGGAAGAGAAGAGAAGAAATCAGACAGAGAAGTTAGTGAGGCGAGAAAGGATTACACACATCATTAGTTGCTTTTACCCATAGATCATCAACTCCTGATGATAACAGTGTCGCTTTTCTGAAAAGAAATGACAGAGAAGATCTAAAAGGAGAAATACAAAAGTAAGAGAGTTAGAAAGAGACTATGTGACTGAAATAATAAAGAAAACTCTAGGCCGTTTTAATTTAATTCTGCTTGATTTATAGACAAAACCCTTTATTTGATGGAAAACATGGCTATTACAATTAGAGAACAGCAATTATTGTAGTGGGGTGAGGCAGTGGCGCAGTAGGTAATGCTTTCGCCTTCCAGCAAAAAGGTCACTGGGTCGAACCTTGGCTCAGTTGGTGTTTCTATGTGGAGTTTGCATGTTCTCCCTGCCTTCGCGTGGGTTTCCTCAGGGTGCTCCGGTTTCC